CCCCCCTTTTTTTTTTTTTTATCTTTTTCGCCTCCCTACCCTCCCGCCTTTCCTACCTCATGCTTCACACTTCATAGCCCTTGTTATCTGTCATTCTCCGGACATCGGCCCTATAAACACTTAACGGAAGGCCTCACGCCGGGTTCGCCAAAGTGGCTCCCCACGGTCCACCTTTCTTGGCTCCTCTTTTTCCCATCTGCACTACGGAAGACATGTTTCGCGCTTGCTCGAACTATAGTGTTTTTCTGGTGTTTCGTGGCCGATTGGCATGTGGGAACCACCCGCCACCAGCGTCGGTAGCCTCAAAAAAATCCAAGCGGCAACGGACGAGACCGGCGACCCGAACCTAGGAAATGGGGACCACCGGGTTTAGAACCGCCGGTGAAGGGCAGCCAACTCGTCAAGGAGGGGGGGCATATCGGATCAGCTAGTCAATCCAATGTCTGGTTTACGTAGAAAACAATCCGTAATTAAATTAGGTCTTGCCCTGGCGTCCTCCTCCCCCTCCTCATTTGGCCGTTCGAACAGCTTTGGGAAGCATATATATATATAACCGCTCACCACTTCTCTTATTCCCACGTTTGCATCCCTCCTTCATCTTCTCTCTTCCTCTCTACCCCTCTCTCCTTTTCACCACATCCCACCTCCTCAAATCATCAACCGATCCGAGAGATAAGAGGGGCCTGAGACGAGCTCGCGCATCACCGTAGTCGAAACCTCCCTCACCTTCCCAACAAACCAACTTTCAACATGTCTCACCTCCCCGTCGAACCCGAGTTCGAGCAGGCCTATAGGGGTATGTTGCTTCGCCTCACTTGCTCGTGTGACTGATCTGGGATGAGCATGGATGTATAAACGGCGCACGCGAGAGAATCCAGCTGGCTTACACTGTACTGCGCCCTTAGAACTCGTCATCACCCTCGAGCAGAGCACGCTCTTCGAACAACACCCGGAATACCGCGGCGCTCTCGATGTCGTCTCCATTCCCGAGCGAGTCATCCAGTTCCGCGTCGTCTGGGAGGACGACAAGGGCAACCTCCGCGTGAACCGCGGCTACCGCGTCCAGTTCAACTCGGCCCTGGGTCCCTACAAGGGCGGTCTTCGATTCCATCCTTCCGTCAACCTGTCTATCCTCAAGTTTCTCGGATTTGAGCAGATCTTTAAGAATGCCCTCACTGGCTGTACGTTTCTGTTTTCCCCCCTTCTCACGAAGATGGTGAAGTAGCAATGGATGACAGGTTACTGACTTTAAGCTGCAGTGAACAGTATGTCATTGTCCATCTTTTCCCCTTTGCAAACATGACCATAGCTTTGGGGCTGCATGCGCGTATTGATGAGAAAAGAAAAGAAAAAAAAGGAAAAAAAAAAAAACCCCCCCGCCGACATCGCATGGGAACGGAAAAGAAGAAGGGGGGTTGATTTGGTGGTGTGGTGGGGGGTTTTAAAGTGGAGTCTGATGAATCAATGAAACTAACCGCTCTCGTCTTAGTCGGTGGTGCCAAGGGCGGTGCCGATATCGACCCCAAGGAGATGAGCGACAGCGAAATCCGCCGCTTCTGCTACTCCTTCATGACCGAGCTCAGCAGGCACATCGGCGCCGACACCGACGTCCCCGCGGGCGACATTGGCGTCTCCGGCCGCGAGATTGGCTTCCTGTTCGGTGCCTATCGTCAGCAGCGCAACCGGTTCGAGGGTGTCCTTACCGGCAAGGGCCTGAAGTGGGGAGGCAGCTTGATTCGCCCTGGTAAGAAACCGACTTTCCCTCCCTTCTTGGGATCCTCTCATTGAATGGAATGCACGACTGACGTGTGTGGCTAATTTTTTTTATTTTTTTTTTGCCACAGAGGCCACCGGTTACGGCGTCGTCTACTACGTCCAGCACATGCTCGAGTACATGGGCAAGGGCAGCATGGCCGGCAAGCGCGTCGCCATCTCCGGCTCGGGCAACGTCGCCCAGTACGCCGCGCTCAAGTGCATGGAGATGGGCGCCACCGTCGTCTCCCTCAGCGACTCCAAGGGCTGCTTCGTGGCCAAGTCCGACGCCGCCGCCTTCACCCCGGAGCACGTCGAGACCATCATGGGGCTCAAGGACCACCGCCGCCCGCTGACCGACTTTGAGCACGACGGCCGCTTCGTCTGGCTCGAGGGCGCCCGCCCCTGGGTCCACGTCGACAGTGTCGACATCGCCCTCCCCTGCGCCACCCAGAACGAGGTCTCCAAGGAGGAGGCCAAGGTCCTTATCGCCAACGGCACCCTTGTCGTCGCCGAGGGCTCCAACATGGGATGCACCCTGGGCGCTGTTGAGGTCTTTGAGGCGGATCGCCGCGTGCGTGGGCCCGACGCCACTTGGTATGCGCCCGGCAAGGCTAGCAACTGCGGCGGCGTGGCCGTGTCTGGATTGGAGATGGCGCAGAACAGCCAGGTAAGGATCACTGGCTCCCATTGCTGAACGAAACGACTGGGCTAACTTTTTTTCTTCTCTCCCTCTATAGCGACTCACCTGGACCCGGGAAGAAGTTGACCAGCGGCTTCACGGCATCATGAAGGAGGCATTCCTCAACGGCGTCACCACTGCCAATGAGTACGTCAAGACCGATGGCGACGAGCTGCCTAGCTTGGTAGCTGGAAGCAACATTGCCGGCTTCGTCAAGGTCATTCGGGCCATGAAGGATCAGGGCGACTTGTGGTGAAGCAACAAGGTTCCTATTACAGGGTGGGATTCGATGATCATGTGACATGGGACAAATGCCTGTTTTGGGTCGGGACCACGAATTGGACATTCGCGATGTTTGGAGTTTTACGGAGTTTGATGACATTCAAGCGGGAGCGGCGTTTGGGGGGGTTTCCATTTTAACACACGTTCTTCGTTCGATTACCTACCTACCTTGGGCAGCGATAGATTATAAGCATATAGAGATCCTGTTCTACGCTAGTCGCATCGTTGTTCTTCGTGAGGAAACGCCTTCTGCAGCCCTACGGGGTAATTAGGAGGTGGTCCGTTGTGAGCTAGGAACTCCAAATGTAGGAGTGCGGTGCTCCGCGACCGAAGGCGCTGCTTCGAGATGCAGGTGAAAGCATGGGCATTCTCCGCGGCCTGATTTTCTGGAGGTCCATACCAGGTATGCGATCTCCCAGATGCACCGCCCCGTCTCTACCATGCACCTCGTCAGTGTCGTCACTGGTGGCCGCCAATTTCTTTCTTTCTTTCTTTTTTTCTTTCTTTCTTTCTTTCTTTTTTTCTTTCTTTCTTTCTTTCTTTTTTTCTTTCTTTCTTTCTTTCTTTTTTTCTTTCTTTCTTTCTTTCTTTTTTTCTTATTCTTTAGTTCACGAAATCTCGTGCCACAGGATAAGACTGGCTCCAACGTCGAAAAGCCGTCATTGCATGCCACGACTTCGGCGAACTACGGTGAAGAGGTCAGGGGTGCGGCTGTCGTGGTCAGTACTTCCATGTAAGTTATCGCCGACGCAGATGGCTTATTGGAAAATTCGAAACCCGTCGGGGACGATATCTGTCTGTCGTACGCACGTTGTAGTTGACATGTCGTTGCCGAATGAAAAGACGAAAAAAAAAACCAGAATTAACATGGTGATACAGGACCTGACCAAGCAGCCCTCGTGCCGTATATAGTAATTATCAACGGTGTACGAACGTCTGCTGATCTTAACTAAGAGCGCTGATGGGACACGGCGTCTGCTAGCTGTCCGAGGCAATGAATGGTATATGGATTACATGTCGGGTTGGACGGGAGCGATCAGACTTTATTTACGTTGACAAGGGACGGGAACGGGAACTCGATTCTGTTGGCAGCGTATCGGGTGAGTGTTTCTTGAGCGATCGGGCTGGCCGCTGGCTCGTGTCACCGCATATCATCGTTCTCGGGACGAAGAAGTACTAAGTAATGATGCAGGGGTTTTTAACACGAGCCGACGTCAGAAAGCCCAGAGCTGAGCCCCAGCACTTGGTACATCATGGAGTACTTAATAGAACTTCTCAGGTTTCGTTTGAGATGGTTTCTTGAGAACACCGAGAACCATATTAGCATATGTACACAAGGTACCTTACAACGTATGGACGGTGGATTTTTGGATCTAAGCTTTATTCTGTCGTTGGTCACTGCTTATTACCTTACCTTAGGTAAGGTAGACAGGGTTGTCGACGGGTGGGGCCGATCGGCTTCATGCATCAGGTACGGACGCTGTACCTTACGAAGTGCGCGTGTGTACCTATGTACCTACCTAATTGAACTGCCAAGATGCGACTTCCGATCCCGTCCAGTTCTCGTTCATCTGACAACTGACCTTGGGAGTATCGGCATCTTGAACGAGAAACCCAAACCTCGAAGCGATCTCTTTTTTAGACGGGTAAACTAATCTTGTCTTTGCCAGCTCCATCGTCACCATCGGCCATGGTGGCTGACAACGAAAACCCAATGCCGGGGGCCTGGGGATCAAGAAAATATCATCCACCTTCGTCCTAGCGACCACACCAAGTGCAACGCCATCCTCGCGTGCGCTCGCAGCCAGTCTCGCGTCTTATGGAGCAACTGAGGACGGACAGGCATCAGCTTCCGCATTCCCTCGTCCGGCCCACGCCTACGAAGATGGAGGAGGGATGCACAAGGCTATATATATATGACGGAAGCCTGTGTTACCTATCCGTTATGCTACTGTATTCTCCTCTCACTCCCCCTGGACCTGCTTTCTCAGCCTGCTCTGCTATCGGTTCCACGCCGCCTTTCGCCATCTGCCCACTCCACTTCAGCTTGACTAAACGCCACCTTTACGCCCTCAAACGGTCTTGCCCCTAGACGGCCTTGCTCCTAGATGGCCCGCGAGTTCAGAACATCTTCTCGTCGTCTCATGATGCTCGCGTTATTTACGGTATCTGCTACTCAGCTTACCTACAAGCAGCCCTCGCTTCCCCTTCTATTTCCCCCTCTCTGCTGTTGGACCTTTGCTAAATCCGCACATGTTGCTCGTGCAGAAATATAGACCCAACGCAAATGCAGAATACCTGACCACCTGATTGACGAAAGCCGATGCATGTCTCATACCAAGAACATATTTGAACCACTCACCACCCCCCGTTTTGTCTCCCATGGCTATTTCCGCATACACCCCTGCGCCACCAGCACCAACGACATGTATCTGCACGGCGCAGGTGCTCGGTCACAGCTGTTGGCGTCCCAGACCATGGGACCCCCCCCTTTTTTTTATCTCTTCTTCAGTCTGACGGCTAATAAGCCGAGTAGAACCTCAATCTGGGATTTTCCAATGCCGACTTCGCTTACTCCTACCGGGTTGAGGCGCCAGAGCTTGGTTGGCCGCGTCTGCATATCGATTCTTGACACCCGAGGCCCGCGATCTCATAGGAATGGGACTGAACGGGATATCTAGGCTACATTGCGGCGGACATGCCGCTTGTTCGGGCTTCTTCTGTGCCCGTCGTACAGGCTAGTCTCTCCGTTGATTCTGTCCCAGCACTTTGCGGCTATATATCCTCCTGTTCTCTGCAGCCACGCTGTCTCCGGGACTCGAATATACGTGTATCGGTTTACCAATGCTTCGAATGCCTATTGCGCAGCGCTGAGAGCCGTCGTTTTCCCTTTGCTGTTCCCGCTATCCTTCTCCTTCTCATACGGCAATGGCTCCGATGGCTACCGAAGATGACCATCACCATGACCTCCCCGCCGGAAAACTCGTCAGGGAGGTGGCGGCTCCGTTCGACCACGATAACGACGGAACTCTGCCTTACTGCATGAATGATAGTGGCGATACCTATGACACCCTTCATAAAAACGGCGGAACACGCCTGCCGAGTCGTGGCGCTGCTTCGTCCGCATCTCTTAAACCTGACGACGTTCAATCCCATAACGAGAATCATCACACCAAAACATTCCCCCGGATCTCGAAACCTATCGAACTGATGCGTAACAGCTACGACACAGTCATCATTGGGTCTGGATATGGGTGTGCCGTAGCTGCTTCCCGGCTAGCTCGATGTGAGGATGCTTCTGGGAAACGGCAGTCTGTCTGTGTGCTAGAACGAGGAGCTGAGAAGTGGCCCGGCGAATATCCCAGCGGCGTCCCTGCTGCAGCTCCCGGGAACCATGTGTCTGATAAGGTCGCCCCGACTTGGTTCCCGCCCTCGACTCGCCAGGATTGCACTGGACTCCATGATGGCTCGACGAGTTCCACCTCGGTGGCTTATCTGGCAGACGCCTGGAACTGGGGCGCTGAAATATTCTGCGAGTGCAAGGTCCGAAATGTCAGAGAGGCCGAGAAGCGGGACGGATATATCGTCTATTTCGCCTGGCAGGGCCACTACAAGGGCTGTTTCGCGCCCGGTTTCCAGGGAGACCTCATGTGGGTGCACGCAAAGAGATGCGTCGTCCTAGACGCCGACGTCGTCGGCATAACCGAAATCTTACGCCGAAGCAAAGAGATGGGTCTGTCAATCACCCACCATGCCGGGCAAGGTAGAAGCGGGAATGGTGATGTACTTGCTTGTATGACCCGAGACGGCATTGGAGGCCCCGGAGTTGCTTCTCTCATTGGCGAGGTGTCCACAAGGGAAGACGACGGAGCGCATTCGAGTCTTACTATCACGGAAGCCACAGTGACCCCCGCACCCATGGGCCTCACAACCTCGACCACCAGAACTGCGCTTGCCGAGGGCTCCGTGGATCACTACATCCGAAGGGAAAAGCTGACGATTCACAAGAAGCCTAGCGGCAACATCGATCTCCTTGGGGAGCCCAGATTCCCTCCTCCCAGGATATCCGATGGGGGTCTTGACTCGGAGGGAAAGCAGATTAGAAAGACATGGTCCAAAATCAACAGCGCGAAGATGGCCAAGGCCCCCGGGTTCGGCTTCACTGAAGTCATGTCGGGTTTCATTCGTCGGGATGCTAACCTCACGCTGGACAACCGCGAGACATACGAGCTTGCCTACCGGACTGCCCAGGGTCTTTGCGAAACCGCAAGACTCTTTCTCCATGTTCGGACTTTCAACACCAGGGCCACCGTCGAAGACCCTGACCACTCCGCTACGCTGACAGGCACCTTTGCCTGCCCGGTCATCCCGGGATCTCCATTCATGGCCCAACGCGGCGACTTCAACCTATTCGTCTCCGACCACAAGTCATCTTGCACCCGCAACGTGACGTATAACTTCGACATGCGAGGCGTTGACGGCAGGCTACTTCACTTTCACGGCTACAAGGTGGTTGATTCCTCCGTAGCCTTTGCCCCTTTCCGGTTCTGGCGCGCAACCACCACGCTCTATGTGACTATCCTCGAGCCTCGTCAGGACAAGGAGGCAGTCTCGGCGCACGGCGAGCCATGGCGCCGTGGCCAGGTATTAGCCAGAGGCATTATGCACATCCACCCGACCGACTTCCTCTCTCAGCTTATGACCATGACCCCGACAGGAAGCGGTCTGGTGAAGAAAGTCTACAGCGCCACCAGCTTCCTGACGTATTTCTCTAGCAAATCCCTCTCGCTGATTCTAGGGTCGTTCGCTCCCTTGGAGTACCCGCGCGCAATCTACAATGGATACATCAACGACACGCCTCCCGATGCCTCGTTCACCATCGTAGCCTCCGACAACGTGAAGACGCAGATGCACATGTGGAACGCGACGAATGTCGACCTGGAGACCAAGAACCTCTTCATGATCCCCGGCGCTGCAGTGGATCACCGCATCTTCGCCTTGCCCACCATCCGCTACAATGCCGTCAATTACTTCACGCGAGCGGGCTACAGGGTCTTCGTCCCCGTGCACCGCATCGGCCAACTCGCAGTCGCCCAGGACGACTGGACCACGCACGACGCCAGACTAGATCTCCGCGCTTGCTTAGAATACATCCGCAACAGCCCCGAGTACAGCGGCGGAAACGCCCCCGGAAACAAGACCTACACCGTCGCGCACTGCATGGGCAGCGTGGCCTTCGCCGCCGGCCTGCTCGACGGCACCATCCCAGCGTCCTGGATCCTCGGCGTGACGGCCAGCCAAGTGTTCATGCACCCGGTCTGGAGCCAGCCCAACATGTTCAAGATCCACCGGAGCCCCCTCGCCCTCGACAGAGCCTACAAGGCACTCCTGGGGACCTGGTTCTCCTGCAGCACCGCCCGGGACGACACCGTCCCGCAACGCCTCCTCAACGCGCTGCTGCGCTTCTGGCCCGAGCCGCGCGGCGAGCTCTGCGCCAACGCGGCCTGCCACCGCTGCACCCTCATCTTCGGCCGCTGCTGGAACCACCGGAACCTGAACGAGGCGACGCACCGCCACATCGACCGGTTCTTCGGCGGCGTCAACATGACCCTGCTCCACCTCCTCATGAAGCAGGGGTGCGAGGGCCACGTGTTGACCAACGCGCCGCGCTTCGACCGCCTCACCGCCTGGCGGAACGTGCGGCGGCTCCGGGGCTTGCCGTTCTTCTTGTTCGTGGGCCGGGATAACGCCGTCTTGACAACCGAGGCCACGGAGCGGACCTATCAGGTACTGTGCGACGCTTTCGGGTCCGGTGGCGACGACCTCGATGATGATGCCGGGGGGCATGGTCGGTTCCGGCGGCGCGTTATCCCCGGGTACGGTCACTTGGACTGCTGGATCGGCCGGAATGCTTGGAAGGACGTGTATCCTCTTGTCAGAGAGGAGGTTGACCGGGTCGTCAGGGGGCCTGGGTACGAGTTTCGGGAACCACACGATCGTTTTCGTGTTATGGTGGAGAGTGGTGAGCTGTTATACTAACCTGGCCGTCTTTCCCGTCAAGTCTTCAGCTTATCCCCTAGTTGGCTCCTTATAAGTTCAGTAGCCAGCCCCCTGGGGAAACACCATGTTCCTTCTCTTTTTTTGCTGCGGAACGTATGTAGATTAATCTCCTGTAGACAGACAGGGACGTGAATATTTATGTTCCTATTTGACGTCTTTGTGATCGCCAGCCCCGAAGCCCGGGTCGTCTTGTATCCTGCGTAACGCCTTGGAAAAGGAATCAAAGCAAACAAACCCCCTTATCAAATCCATATAAGACACGGCCCAAACCACCCAAGCCTTCCTAGGTATTCCCATAGACATGAAGATAGAACTACATCTTATCCAGCCCCTTCCAAAAGTATGATAAAATTCGTGGCAATCCCGGGCCTCGTGCCCCCCCTCCAGAGACACAGGTCCCTCATCTCATCACCAGATGGCGGCCTGATCCAAGTCAAACCGCTGCAGCTCCTTCCCAGCATCCTCCAGGTCTTTCTTCGCCTTCATTCGCATGTAGAAGATGGGGCAGTCCTTGCTACTGCAGATGACTTCGCAGTGCATGCTGCCCTGGCACCGCTGGCACTGCGTCCACAGGCGCCCGAACCGCACCTCAAGGTCCGACACACGATCCAGCGTCTTCTTGTACAACTCCCCCACGCGCGGCGAGCAGTTCGCACACACCGCGCCCGCGCTCTCCTCTTTACCCGTCAGGGGCTTCTTGCAGCCCATGCACGTCTGCGTCTTCTTGGTGAACTTCATCAGCCCGCCCACCGTCGGCACCGCCACGGAGATGGTCCGCGTGTGCGCGCCCGCCAGCAGCGAGTTGGCCTTGGTCTCGCCCAGAATGGGCTCGAAGATGCGCGACAGGGGCTTCGCCAGCTGGTTGTCCAGGTAGTACTTCGTGTCGATGGGCACGTTGTTCTCCAGGACGAAGATGGGATCTTCCGACTTTTCGTAGTTCTTCGAGCCGGCTGCGCCCTTCACCATCACGTAGGCGACCCGGTCGCCGAGTCCGGGAGCGGAGCCTGCGTCTCGTTTCTTCATTCGCTGCGCTAGTTCGACGTGTGCTTGCTTGGCGGCGTAATCATCTTTTGCGAGAGCCTTGGTGATCACGAGCTTCGACATGTCGACCTTGTTCTGTAGGAGGTCGGCGATGGTGTCCTTGACATACCTAGTCGAGCAAGGTAGTACAGGCAGGTAGTTAGCCTCAGATACTCTACGGGCAAAGGGAGGAAGCAGTAAACATACTCTTGTGCGCCCGGGACGTCCCGATCAATGAGGATCATCCGCAACACCTTTTCAATGACGGTCTGCACGAGAAGGCAATTGTCGCGTCGGACCGTCTCAATACCCTTGGTGTCCATCTTGTCGTACTTGTCCGGCCTGGTCCAGTACAGGCCGGCGTACCGCTTCTTGTTGATGAGGAGGTACGGGAAATACACCTTCTCGAACTCCAGCTTGATGGGCTTGATGAACTTGGCAGACACAAAGTCGGCCGCCTCTTGGCCCAGCTTCATGGCTTCGGCGAGATCCTTGGTGCCGAATTTGACCATGACCGAGTCCGTGTCGCCGTAGATGACCTGCGCATCGTGCGAGTACCCGTTCGCGATGTTGTACTTGGCCTCGACTTCTTCCTTGGTCTTCTCGATCATCTGCCGACCAAAGCTCGTCGTGCTGCTGGCGATTTCAAGACAGGGAAGCTTGCCTGTCGTGGCACCTGTCAAGCCGTACACCGAGTTTGCGCTGATTTTCAGAGCCAGCTGCCGACCGTTCAACACGGCCTTCTTGAAAGGGTCCGTCTCCGCGGCCAGTTCTCGTTTCGCCTGTTTCCTCGCGGTGAGGAGTTCTTCGAGAATTTGTGCGAGGAGACCTTTCCTCTGCTTTGTGGTGACAAAGGTGTCGCCGGCGGGCGTGACGACGTAGTCCTCGTCCTTCTTCAGGTTGAATTTCTCGATCATCGGTTTTCTGACCAGGGTGGTATAACAGAGGTTGTGCGCCTGCATGATGCTGGGGTACAGGGACGCGAAATCGAGGGTGGCAACGGGCACGTCGTAGTAGCCTCGAGTGGGTTCAATGACCGTTGCTCCCTCATACTGTTCATCTGTGGCCTCGGACTTCATGTTGGGTATGACAAGCTTCTGCTCAAGAGCCTTCCTGAAAAGTTGACTGATGAACTTGACTTGCTGGCCTCGCGACAGCAGGAAATTGAAGGGCACACCCGTGACTCTTGCCATTTCGGTGTAATTTTCAAGGCAAGACAATTTATCCATCAGCCGCTGTGGTAGGTAGGCATCTTTTAAGCAGTACAGGGCCAGACGTCGGCGAGATTCCGGGGTCCCGTTGAACAGTTCGGTGATCATCGAGTAGTGAACATCTTCCTTCTGCTCGCCTAGGAAGTTGGAGCAGACCGAGTTCAAAGTATAGCTTCGAAGATGATAGTCGCGCTGTATCAGCTGCAGAAGATCCAGTTGGAGCCGGCCGTTGGTGTTGGTTGTCTTGGAATCACGGTTCCCCATCTGCTTGCTCGAAAATTTGGTTTCCCTGCACCTGGACGGAACGCTGGGTATCCGGGACCAGTACTTGAACCCTGCGATTTGAAGGTGCTGAGCCCGTTCTAGCAAATAAGGGAAGTCGAAGTTGGCAATGTTGTATCCGATGATGAGATCCGGGTCCACCGTTTGCAGGAACTTTTGCCACTCGGCCAACATGTGTTCTTCCTTCTGAAACTCGAGGACCTGCGTGGCCACGATCGAGCTGGTTGTGTTGAGGCAGAAAACATTCCGCACAAAGGGCTTCTTCTCTCCATATCTGGTGACGAGGTTGGCAATCTGGATCACGGGATCGTGGGTGGCCTCGGGAAATATGCCTTTGCGTCCAGCACATTCGATATCAAACGACATTATACGGAGCGGTGCCATCTTCGACCACTCGCCTTCGGGCTTGTGGGCGATGAGGTCGGTATAGTTGACTTCAGCCTCGATCTGGCAGTTGGATTGCCTCATGTGCTGCGGGACAAGACGATAAGTTTTCGGGGGGGCTTCAACCCAAGACATTCCCTGGATCTATTCGGCAGTTAGCCTGTGTCACGCAATGCGGACGAAGAAACCTAGGTAGGGGTGGAGGATATGCGGAACAAACACATACCTTGCAATCAATCATGAACCGAAGGACATACTGGATGTTGTCAAATGTCATGACACCGCCTTCGGCCCCTGTCCACAGACCCTTCCAGTTGGCACTGCCAGACTCAATCGTGGACCGGACCTTGGCAATGACCTTGGGATCGTTGACTGTAATCTTGAGATACGGGTTCTTGACATTGCCTCGAAATCCGTAGATGTTCTCGCGCATGACCAGGGACACCGAGTAAACGACAGGCTGGTGGTCAGCGACTTGCGCCTCGAGGAAGGCCTTGAAGGCGTTGCAGTCCTCAGGCTGAAAAGAAACGGGGGCCGCAACGTAAAGGTAATGCTTGAAGTTGGTGACGTGAAGCATGACCGAGTTGCCCTTCTCGGTTACGCCGAAGAGCTTGACCGTGGTCCTGCCGCCATGCAGCGTCCCTTCCTCGGCTTCGATCTGCTGGAAGCAAACTCTGTCGACATTGGGGTCAAGGGGAGGCAAGGGCGGCCTTTCCCATGCCTGATCCTTCTCGCTGTTGTTCTGCTTGAGGTCCGAAATGTCCTGGCTCAGTTTCTCGAGGACTTCCGACTCGAAGGCGCTCTTGGGCTGGCTCGAATCAAGTTGGCCTTTGGCGTTCCTCCGGATGCTGGACAGCTTTGGTGCCGGGGAGGACGAGAAAGGCTCAACCTTGCGCTTCTTGATCGAACCAGGCGCCGAGGGGATGTTTTGGCGAGTGTTCGATGTCTCCCCGAGCGCCCGTTTCTGGGGCAAGATGGTGGTTGCCATGGTTCTAAAATGGGGCTCTTACGGTGAGAGACCAAAAGTTGAAATGGCCAAGTTCACAGATGACACATGCTTCAATGGGCACTGTCGGTGGCGTTGGTGGTGTTGTTGTTTGTGTTGTTGTTGTTGTGCTATTGTGACCAGAGACAAAACTTGTAAGATCGAGGAATATCCGTAGGTACGGGTAGCGGGTCGGTCGAAAAGTTCCAGGTGAGACGCGTTACTGACGTGACGTGACAGACCACTTAATGGAATCTGAAAGCGGACGCGTCATGCTGAGTCATCAGAAGCCCCGTACCAAGGAAGTCAGGCGTAATGTTTTGTACCTTACTACAGATAGAAAGTACAACTTCGGATACCTAAGGTAAGGTACCTTTTATTTACTAAGACCTGACCTGTTGATCCTAATGGCTTCACAACTCGGCGTTAAAACGATTCTGTTTTTGGTTCGTAGCATCATCAGTCCCTGTCATATGCCCAGATATGCAGGGTTGTTTAAGAAAGCTGTTTAACCAGCTCTTGAGAGTGGATACAGTGTATGGATATACCAGATAAAATGCCCTGTTCCTGGGATTGGGTCTTCTTATGATGTCCCGCCGATACTCAAAGGATGATTCCGCACCTTTTCCGCGAGAGCCCAGTCTTCGCATGCTCCCATTGCACTCAAAAGTCCCTTTGCATTGCCATTCCTGTCCCAACGTCGAGCATGGGACTCAGGAGGTTATCATCGTGTGTAGCCAGACTGACTCAACCCGAAACCAGAACGCCGCGATTTGCATAGAAAGGGAAGTCCACAGGTAATAAGACTATTAGCTCCAAGCATGGAGAAATTGGGCGGTCAAGGAAGTGGAAAAAAAAAAAAAGGTAAAAAATCAATGAACAAGAGCTCGAGAGATGATCTCGCCGCCTTCACTGAGAAGGGTCCACTACGATTTCCTCAAAGCTGAGATCTCCCATCTCGCACCAATTACTGACCGGCTGTCACCAAAGTTAGCAAAGGGCTCCATGTCCATGATTTAGGGGCAGTTACTTACCAAACAGCTAAGACGTTTGCACCAGTTGCAGTCCCTCCTACCGACGTAGAAGTTGTTGAGAAGCACAATAAAGACCACAATGACGAGAATGAGAGCCGCAGCTCGAAGGATCCACCAAATCCACCAAAGCGGCTTTCGCCCCTTGAAAAACCCAGTGGGGTTTTTCACGAAGGGTGGTGCTCCGCCCTCGTTAGCCGGCACATTGACTGTGGCGTAAGACGTCTCGTGGCCGAGTCTCTTTCTCAAGGAATTGGGAGAGTGGAGGACGCAGATGCCGAGGCAGAGCCCCATTAGAAAGCCGCCAATGTGGGCAAAATTGTCGAGACCAGGTAGAAGCCCGAGGACGAAGCAGATGGCTATGTCGAGGATGATGAAGAGCAAATCCTTGACTGGGGATTTACGCTCTTTCCAGGAGTAAAGGAGGTCGAGCAAGGTCAACGCGATGATCCCGAAGAGAGCACCGGAGGCACCTTGAGACACCTCGCCCGAGCCGGCGAAATTGGCACCCATGACATTGCCGAAGATGCCCGCACTCATATAGACGAGGAAGAAGCGGATAGGCCCGATGGCCATTTCCATCTCCTTGGCTATGGTTAGCTGCAGCAGCATGTTGACGGCGATGTGGATTAAACCGGCATGTAAAAATATGGGCGTGATGAATCGGAACCACTGATTCGGCACGCCCTTCGCATCTGGGTCCTGGGGATCGGGCACACCGCCAAATCCACAGAGCTCCCCCAGGGAGCAACGGTTCGAGCCGCTGAGCGGGTCGTTGGTGGTAGTGTTGGGACAGCGCCAGAATATGTTGATTGTGGCTTCTTTGATCTCCTCCGGGACGGTCATACAGGGAACATAGCGTGCTCCCATGTTGATGTTGACATAATAGGACGGGCCAATCATGGGGTTAAAAGCTGGCCTGATCATGATCGGTGTACCAGTGAGGATACCTGTATGTCCTGTCAGCATTTCGCGGGCTGCAGAATGAGGGCGCAGGACCCGAGAACATAGTGCTTACCATTCCTCACGAGTTGGCCGATGAAGACACCGATCTGGATGGCAGTGAAGAGATATGCGACCCAAGGAATGCGCTTCTTGTCGGCGCCAAACATGCCAAGCTGGCCAAACCCGACCTTCCTCGACGTCTTTCTCCTTTGTGAAGTCGGGGCTTCATACACATGATCATTCATCTCGACGTCCTTCTGCGGCGGATTGGGCCCGTAGCCATGATTTTGCAACGGTATGTCGTCGGCGAAGTGTGCTTGCGCCGGGCGGCTGGAGACGGGTGATATCGATGCACCTGGGCCATGATAGCCAGTGTCGTGGCCGTTGTAGGGACTGGGTTGTTGCATCACGTGGTTGTTGCTGCTGCCGCCGTAGGGACCGGGTTGTTGCATCACGTTATTGTTGCTGCCGCCGCCGTAGGGACTGGGTCGAAATCCGTTCTGTGTCGAGTCTGCCGGGTAGGCAGTGTCGTCGAAGACTGTGTCGAAGGGAGAGACGGTCTCGCTGCGTGGCGGCCTATTACTCGTGTTCGGAACGGGACCGCTTGAGCTATAGGGCGGCGCAGGCGTCGAGACAGGAGATGGTACGTAGGCAGCGCCGTAATAAGGTGACTGCGACTGAGAGGGTCCGGTTGATGGCGGCTGGTTGCCGTAATAGAAGTCGTTAGTAGCCATGGTCCGAGAGGCCTGGCGTGAAGGAAAGGTAACGATCGTAGGGTGCCCAGATGGAACTGGATCAGAATACGGGGCGAGGCTTTCTGGGTTGACGTAAGGACTTGGAGGACGGTTCCCGTTCTTGGTAGTGATTCGGTGTAGAGGGATAATGAGAAAACGTCCGTCGAAAAGGCTATTGAGTATGGGTCAAGTTCCTTTCCCAAGCCGACGTTCGTGTCTGAAACGTCTCGGCGTTGGTGATTAACCGAAAAGTCGGGAACGGACAGTTAGGAAACGTAACCTAGAAGGCCGTGATACAGAGAGAAATCGGTTTCTTCGTTAAGAGCGATGGGCAGATGGATGATAGAAAGAGAGAGACGCCTTCCTCCTCGGTTTAAAGGTATGGATGAGGGAAGAAAAAGAAAACACCAGGAGGAATGCAACGGGTCGGGAAGGAGACGTCACATCTTAGAGAGGCGGCAACAAGTTCTTTCAAGGTACCAGGGTATGCTGAGTTGGTGGCCCCCTGAGGCTGTGCAGGGGTGCCAAAGTGTGCCTGAAGCGGCCCCGGGAACCAGTAGCTTCGCTGGGTTACTTCGCTGGTGGGCCTCTTCACATCAATGGCCGCCCCACATTCTTAATAAAGGACCATGAAAGTACGGTACGAAAGTCCGAGGTACTTGCACGGATACGCGTTCTCATGCAAGATGTACAAAACGGCTGACGACGCCCAAGGTGGCTTTTAACAACAGCTCTCCCAAGTGAAAATCACTTCTCGCATGTTATATCTGCAGAGTACCAAAAGTGTACATCCGTGGGACTTTGATTGATGGTATCCATTCCGTTGTTCCGTCCTGGTCTGATGGTCTGACTTCCAGGGTCTTTATTAACTGTCAAACCTGTTTCGTACCACTGCCGTACGTTTAATATGGCATTCCAACCGCCAGCCATTTCGAACGATTTTAGCCACAGAGACGATCGAGAATGCTATCGGGAGTTGCACCCCGAATTTGCGCCCATTTTTCCAATACTTCACTACCTTGCCTTACATTAATATGTCCCATGTTATTAAGTCACTAACAATTCATGTCGCCTCCATTCACGCTATCGTTGGTAGCACAGAGTATCCGTATATCTTCGACATCCTTTAGATACATCTCCCGGCCGTTTACTCTTTTGGTTGTACCGTCAATCATCATATATTATTCGAAACACATCAACTATTGTTGTCCCGTCTTTGCCGAGAAAGAGACAAGGGGCAAACACCTACGTATTCGGAAGCAGTACGGCAGACAAAAACATAATAACTTATTTCCTCCTATGAATGATAGAGGCCGAGGGATGACCTGGCCAAGACGATGAGGGTCAAATTTAAACGAAACGGACGAGAAGCGGCGGTTCAAGTCCAACAAAAATCGTTGAAGGCGAGTGAAATAGTTGCTACCCATCGTTGCCAATTCGGACAAGCGCAACGGTGTCAAAGCATCTGCATTTTGCTGCACATGCCCCTGTTGCAATACTTGGTATAGAAATCATGGTAACCAGTTGCTCTCTCTTAATAATGCGCAAATTGCAACCATTGCGCCCGGGAGACCTCTGGAGATACATATTCCGACCGTGGGTTTTAGATCATCTTGATACATATATTACACAGCATATCCGCAATCCGCGGATGCCTTCCCGCCTCGCCACCTGAGCAAACATGTCCCATCATGGCCGTTTGTTATCTTTCTTATCCTCCTCCTTGTTCTTTGCAGGCTTTTCCTGTCCAGGTTCCTCAGGGTTCCCACCACCAGGCATAACCTCCACCACCTGGTCAACGATGATCCCCCAGAGTCCCTTCCCTTCCTCCAGAGCCTTCTTATGGTCTTCTGCCCTCCTTCGGTTCCACTCCTCCTGCGTCTCGTCGCCGTACCAAAGCTTCTCTAGCCTGCCCCGCTTCTCCAGTTCAATGCGCCGCATGTCGGCCTCCATCAGGCCTTCGCGGGCCATGCGCTCCTGGCGGAGTCGACGCTGGGCCTCTTTCGCGTGCTCGGGCAGATCGGAGTTGAATATTTGTTGGGCGCGGTCGCCCACCCGGTCGTAGATGGAGCGGCCTGTGTAGTCGTACGCTAGCTGGGAGGTCGACATGGAGAATGTCGCGGCGAGTATGAGGAAGCGCCAGTCCATGCGTCGCGGAGGTAGAAGCATGACGAGCGGAGAGATGATGGCGCCGGCTATGGCTGCTTTGTGGACGAGGGGCGGTGTTGTTTGTTGAGGGGTTTTTGATGGTTGGGTCTGGCCCGGGGCCAAGCTTGGGGTTTCTTGATCCGTCATGGCGAAGTTGGGAAGTTATGAAATATCCGTACTCGGTGGCAGTTGATGCACGTAAAGTCTTGTGCTTCTACTTCGTGACGTGTGTTGGTATCTGTGCAATAAAGACTGGCTGCAAGACGGCGAAACAGGACCTTCTGAGTACACGCTCCATACCTTACCCTCGCAAATGAAAAGTATGTAGGTCGGGGGTGAAGTGTGCCGAATCCCGAGCTGGAGCCGCGCCCATGCTGCTGGATGGCGGCTACGTGAAAAATGGAATACAGGGGACCCACTTCTTTGATCAGTCCGTTCCTTTCATTGATGGGATAGCCGCGTAGCGGCATGCGTTTTGACGCTGACCTCGGGGAACTAATTAATACGGGACAAGTAGCGGCATCCCGCATATCGGTCAAATCCGTGCCCGTTACGTAACCGTAAAACTACGGTCTGTTCAACACACATGACATGTAATTACCCTAAGAACCGACTCGAGGAACCAAAAGTACCGCCCCGGTACGCCGCCTACTCCTTCTGACAAGAGACATGAATCTCTCATCCGGCCCTGTCAGTACCTATAATCTGGGCTTCATTCTGCCACAAATGAGCTCCTGCTTCCTTCAACAGCCGAACACACTCCTCATTGTCCTCGACCCTTTCTGCCAGAAATAAGGGCGTGTTGTTGGCCCGATTCCTCACATGGACGCTCGCCCCCCTGCTGAGAAGCTCTCGAAGTATCTCCGCCCTCCCGACGGCAGCAAGATGCACGGCGGTGTTCCCTGCGTAATCGGCGTGTTTTAGGAGCGGTTGGTTGGACCCGACGTCGTCGCTGTCGAGTATCTGCTTGGCAGTTTCGCCATGTCCGTCGCGGATAGCGCACCCTAGAGCAGTGAATGCCGATTCGTTCACGGAGAGACGAGCTATAGCCGTCTCCAAAGAAGATCCGGGGTGCGAGAAGACTGGACGCTTGAGCTCGGTCATCTCGCCGCGGAGCGACCGGGACATCTTAGCTTTGACCTCGGCGATTGTCAGGTTCGGCAGTGCCATGAGATACGATAGCTTGGTGAGCGCAGCCTCCGTGGTGAGGTCGTACCCGAAAATCACGCCGGCTCTACCCAGCTCAGTGCCGGGCCCGTAGAGGGGGGACACGAAGCCGTCCAGACACTGACTAACGTTGACCACGATGATGCCTCTGTCGATGGCTGACTTTATCACTTTCGTGAGGCTGCCGTCCACGCCGCCCGGGGCATTGCCCATGCCGAATGTTCGGAGGACAAGGCCACGCAAGTTCGGGGCACGAAGAACCGAGTCGAGCATCTCCGGCTTGATTCCTGGAAAGATGTGGATACAGGCCACATGGGCCGTGTCGAGGTGCTGGGCGACTTCAAGCTCCGCAATCCTGGTGGGACGGAGAATCAAGGACCAATTCACGTCGATGCCGAGTCCGTTCATCTTGGCGAGCGGCTCGCAGTTGGGACTGGCGAATGCATCGAAATTGACTGCAGAGTTCTTCGTGGTCCGGTTCCCTCTGTAGAGATTGTGGTGGAAAAATATGCACACCTCCGGAATGACGAAAGTCCCCGCAATAATCAGAGATCCCAACAGGTTATCCACTGCGTCCGACTGCAGGTTGAATATCGGGGCTTGTGATCCAGTGAGAATGATAGGCTTGCCCAAGTCTGACATCATGAATGACAGGGCAGACGCTGTATATGATAGGGAATCCGTGCCATGGAGGATGACGAACCCATCAAAGAGCCGGTAGTTCTCCCTGACCGTCTGAGCAATCTCAGTCCAGCCTGCGGACGAGATTGAACTCGAGTCCAGGAGAGGGGAGAACTCCATCACACCATATCGGACATGGCGGGAGTAGGTACTTGGCGGCGTCCGCAAACTGTCGAGCACGACCTTTTGACTGCCCTTGGAAGCCTCGAGGGGGACTGACGGTGACTTGTCGTTGAAAGATGGGCGCGGAGCCATGGCGTTCGCAATGAATCCGCCGATGGGTTGTAAACCGTCTGGAGTGGGCTGCATGCAGATCGTCCCGCCAGTCATGATGATGAGTACCCGAGACTCGGGATGGCATAACTCCGGGGTTTCGTTGGATCCCATTCCGTTCGCAGGCATGCCAGTTTCTGTCGTTTGATAGCCAGGAAAACACCACACTGGTCCAAGTAAGATCCCACCTCGTTAACCGTATCTGTAGAGGTATTCAAAGATTTTCGCTCAGTTTCAGTGAGATGTACGGATAAGGGGCGTCGTCCGGGCTCATACAATGGATGCCAGTGTATCCTCGCCGACTGTCGAAAATAGCCGTCGCAGGGGGATTCAGCAGTTCCAGGTCCACCTTATCGCCTTTAAAGGTTGAAAGAAGAAGAAAAAATTCGGGTCTCTTATAAGTTTAACTATCACCCGAGATTGACCTACTCAGGAATAACGGTAAGAGGTGGCCCTATAATAAATACCACGTGCGATACATACTGCCAGGGACAGTATCCGAGCAATGGGAGCAATGTGGTAATAATCATTAAGTAACTGTTAGGTGAATACGAGAAAAGCTACTTTGTATATAGCATTACAAAGGCCGACCTTCCGTTCACGGACTACTACCTAAAGTACCTATGGTAGACATCATGAAGACACCTTATTAGCCTTTTATTCACGTTATACGGATGGAGATTGGGGCAGGCAGTGAAGTACAGAGGTACAAAATGGTCTCCCTTTTCGGACCAAGCAGCCAACCACTACCGACCGTGCACGCGCCACCAAGAGTTGGACCGACCAACGACTTTGACTTGACAACTTCGATGGATGTAATGACTTCGAAAAGGTACTTGGTAGATTTATTAGAAGGTCATCGACCTTTTATATCTCCCGACTCCTCGACTTTCCACCTTCCAACCTCTTGCGTCGCGAGCATTCGACGCACCCGAAAGACATCGCCTGTTTCACACAGCCAGAATCAACCAGCCAATTGCATGATCCGATGCTTACCCTACTCTCCTGTCGCTAATCCTGCGTCGCGTTGTCGAGTTCGACCGACCGAGCTCTCATTATTTTCCTGTCCCATCTTCAACGACCTGCCACATCGCCATCATGGCTACGTCCCCCCAAGCAAACGGGGCCCTATCTCCACGGACATTTGCCTTGAAGCATCAGCGACCAAGATCTAACTTCGTGGGATGCTCCAAAATCACCGACTACGAGCTGCTGGGCAAGCTTGGAGAGGGCACTTTCGGGTAGGCCATCTGATCCAACCAGTTTGACAACGCCAAAGGGGGGGGGGGGGGGGGGGGGGGGGGGAGGGGTAAAGCGCATGCTGACTTTCGTCGTTTAGAGAAGTATATCGGGCGAGAAATCGAAAGACCGGTACCGTCTTTGCGCTGAAGAAGATCATCATGCACAACGAGAAGGACGGTGTATGTTACCTCGTCACGATATCTTGCATCCTCCTGATAAGCCCAGTACGATTGACTATAGACAGTTTCCCATCACAGCCTTGCGCGAAATAAAGTTGCTCAAGATGTTGTCTCATGAGAACGTCCTCCGGCTGGAGGACATGGCCGTCGAGCACCCTCCTCGATGTAAGTTTGGCCCCTGGCCCTCTTCTCAGCATGGAACGTTGGGCGGCTTACGGAATTGCAAATGTTGCAGCCAACGATGTTAAACGTAAGCGACCGATTATGTACATGGTGACTCCCTATATGGACCACGACCTCTCAGGCCTCCTGGACAATCCGTCTGTTCGGTTCACAGAACCCCAAATCAAATGCTACATGCTGCAGCTCCTAGAAGGCTTGCGCTATCTGCACGACAGCAATATTCTCCATCGCGATATGAAGGCCGCCAACCTTCTCATCAACAACAAGGGCATCCTTCAAATTGCCGATTTTGGGTTGGCGAGGCATTACGACGATGCAACCCCGAAGCCTGGCCAAGGCGCTGGCGAGGGCAAGAGAGAGTATACTGGTCTCGTGGTCACTAGGTGGTATCGACCCCCTGAGCTTCTCCTTCACCTGAAGAAATACACCACAGCTATCGACGTGTGGGGTGTCGGGTAAGATACATTTCCCGCAACGACGTCATCTTCCTTCCCCCATGGCGCGAACAATCTGCAATTTCAGCTAACATATTTTCGTTTAGGTGCGTTTTCGGAGAGATGCTGTCCGGCAAGCCGATTTTAATGGGCGAAAGTGATGGCCAGCAGCTTGAGATCATCTGGGACCTAATGGGGTCTCCCACGTCAGAGAACATGCCCCTGTGGAACACGCTGCCTGGTGCAGAGGGCCTTGTACCTCGTCCGAGACCTGGCAACTTGTCGACGAGATTTCGTGAGCATGGCTCTGGCGCGATATCTCTGCTTAAGGAGCTCCTTCGACTTGACTGGAGAGCACGTATCAATGCCATAGACGCTCTTCAACATCCTTACTTCAAGATGGCTCCGCTGCCCGCGAAGCCAGGGGAACTTCCTACCTTCGAGGAAAGTCACGAGTTGGACAGACGCAAGTTCCATGATCGCAAGGCAGCCCTGCCTCCAGCCCCGAAGGGGGGAACTGTGGGCCTGGGCCCGGAGGCTCATGGCGCCCATGCAGGTTTTACCAGTGCTGATGTCTACAGCGGCCGCAGCGGGGCGAACGGGGCGAACGGGGCGAACGGAAGCGGATACAGGAACGGGGACGAACGACGTCCTGCTTGGCAACGGGATCGCATCTTGCCAGGCGAACGGGGGCTTCCGCCGCGTCCGCCTCCTCCTGCAGATAACTTTAACGGAAGTTGGGATGGCAGCGAAGACCGCAGTAGCCACCGTGATAGGGATCGGGATAGGCAGCACCGGGGTGGAAGGGACCGGCCAGCGAGGGGAGGAGGGGATGTCGATACGTATATCCCGAGTTACGGAAGGGATGACGGGCGACACAGAGACGAACGGGCGCCTTACGACCGTCGGGGGCGCAATAGTAGGGATGACCGGCGGCCGGACCGGGATCGTCGAACACGAAGTCGGAGTCGGTCGCCGGTCCGCGACAGAGAACGTGATCGCGATCGGGACCGTGACCGCGAGCGTGACCTTTATCGCCGGTAACTGTTGACGAAACGGAGAGTACGGCACCTTTCTTTCTTCGGGCCTCACCATGTTTTTTTATATGCCCTTCTTGCTCTACTATTGTGGGCACTGTTGTAAGAATCTTAGCCGCGGCGCACGGGTTGGGAACGGCGTTGGAGGGTTTTGGATAGGGAATATTCCCGGGAAGACGCGGTATCGCATGATCATCAATTTGCCGCATAGCACCAAATAACTCCGTAGTTAGATACTAAACACGAGGTTTGGGACGCGCCTTATTTAGGATTGAATGCGTGTCAAAGCTCAGAACCATTACTTTCCTCCTCGTGGATCGTCTGGGACAGGGATACGAGCCCTGCCGTCCGTTCCCTGCGTTTCGGGGCCATTGTTTCGAGAAAGTGCCAGTCAGTTTCGGGGGGAGAAGAGTCTTCAGTTCTACTCGAGGTAGGACGCGGGGTGAGCATGGTTATCGGGGTCGGCGCTATCGACTCATCGTAGTCCTCTTCCTTTGCGCGATCGTGAAGTCCCAAGGCCGATGTGACGACCTCTGAGGTGAAGGACACGACTACCCCGGCTAGTCCGCCAACGATCGCGCCACATGTGATCTGTAGAGTGCAGCCGGTGAGGAGAAGAACAGGGAAGGGGAATCTGTGGCGGTGGGTATTTCCAAGATAAGGAGGACTCACGAAAATGTAGAGCGGCTGCCGAGGACGCCCCGTGTTAGTCTTCTACGGAGACAGATGACTAAGGTAGTATTGACCGGAGGGAAAGGGCAAAGCTTACTTGGACTGGACTTATGCAGAAGTTAATAAGGGTCGTAATCCAACCGAAGCTATACGAGAACATGTAGATAGCTGGTGCGAGGAGGATGAGGATAAAGGCGACCAGTGAAGAGCCTAACGACCAGACGAGCCGTAGAGGCAAGGCAATGGCAGCCCCAAGCGCACTTGACGCCTTTACTACCATTCCGAGCCAATACATGACTGGAGTGACTGCTGGTTGAAGGGACTGACGGCCTAGCGATCCCTTCAGAACATGACGAGGTTTAACCGGACAGGCGCCTGCAGAAGTGTAAGGCAGAGAGATAGATAGGACTTATAGAGCCGGTTTGGAGTAATCGAGATGCGTCTCGCAAACTTCGGTCAAGGTAAATCGAGATCAAAGTCAATAAGCTGAGGGGAAGGGGATCAACTTGTTCCAGGCTAATACGGATTGCCTTGAGGTCGACCGCTGACGCGTTGGGAACCGAGTTGTGTTGAGGACGAGATGCTCTGGGCAAGGTCCATGTTGCCCGAGCACACTGGAATGGCATAGAGTACCTACCTAGAGACGGACATGAACGTCACGGTTAGGTACTTCGTTGTACGAAGTACAGATAGCATACCTAAGGTACCTAGTACCTTAGGTACGGTACCTTATCCTGGAAACAGCGAGGAATGCCGCTTTAGACTCATTACCTCATGATTACTACGGTATCTTCGTATCCTGTCCGTACCCTCGTAAAGAGGTACTGTACTCCGTACAAACTGACGAACGGCCCCGGCGAGCTGCTAAGGTGTTGGGTGACAGGAACATTGTCCAACACGGCATATCCGCGCTAATAGGAAGTGTATCCTGCAGGGGGGGTTACCAAGAGCCCCACGCCATCACGTAATTACGTACTGTGTTTGTGATCGCGGGGCCATCGTCTCGATCTTGCACCCCCTTCGACCTATCTCATTGTCGTCTTTTTCTCACTTTCGCTGTGTGGAACAGGAGAAGTTTGAACTTGACCGAACCCGAAGCCACCGAACCAGAAACTCATCAGGGGACTCCCGTATATCCGAATCCGAAGCTTTCGCCGTCATCCTAGCCTGATACTTAGTTTTCGAATGCCGAGTGAGGCTGGTATCAGCAGTTGACTCGAACTCGCACGACTGCACTCGAACATCTCCGTTTATCCTTGCTTCAACCTCCGTTGCCTTCACTTGGTACATATTTCAATTGGCTCGGATTTATACGGATTTGTTCGGTATTGATCTGCTGCTACCCGTTTCCCATCTCTATTTTGGGTGCAATTTGTGCGAGGTCGGCGAGAAGTGGGCACAAAACTGGTGGATTCAATCAAGCCCAACCAGCTTGGTCGTCGCTCTTCTCCTGTCCATTTCGGCCCCGATTATTCGAGATTTGCTAGCTAGCTTACCTAGTAGCAAAGGGACAAGGGACCATCACAAGCCGCGACACCGCCTCTTTGGAGAGTATCAGCTGGTCAGGTCGTCTACCACGCAGTTAAATACCCTCGTTTTGCCGGACTGCTGCAGTCCCACCTACCGCATCCCGTCGCCAGTCCCCGCCCCTCCCGTGACACACGAGGGAAGAAGCATCGGGCAAGATGGGCAACAACCCCTCGTCGTCGTCCAAGCCTGCGATTCCCGTGTCGTCTCAATCAAACACATCGTCTGGCTATTCCCAAACCCACGAGTCGCCCAAGCATTCCAAACGGGACTCCAAGCATATCATCCCACCCCGTACCGCCGAGCGCATCGCCGCCCCTCCCGAAGCCTCCCTCCACCAGGCCCAAGGGTCCACGATTACCAAAGGCCCTAAACCTCTCCAGTCCATTCCGATCCCCAGCATCACGAGTTCCTCCTCCCCGTCGCCGAGTTCACACTACAATACCCCTCATCGGGGCAGCAACAGCAACAGCAACAGCAACAGCAACAGCAACAGCAACAGCCATAGCAACAGCAACAGCAACAGCAACAACAGCAACAACAACAACAACAACAACAACAACAACGACAACCACTCCTCGTCTGCCCCACAGTCTCAACCGTCGGAGGACCGGCAGACCAGTCGCCATGAGCCAAGCAAGCCCGTAGACGTCCCCGTATGCCACACCGAATCCTCGTCACTTCGGTCACTCGCCGCCTCCGGCCACGCCCACCCCGTGGAGGCAGGCCTGGCATCACAGAACAGCGTCAGCGACATGTCGTACCTCACGCGACCGCCACGCCTACCGCTCCCCATCGAGGAGGAGGTCCATACCCCCGGATCACCCATCATAGCCCCTTCAGACGCTGCTGGTGTCGAGCCGGTGGTTGACGTCGAGGCCCTCGACTCGGATGGCATGACACGCAAGTCTTCGGGCTTGAGCAGTGCTACAGTAGAAGAGGACGACGGACAGGAACTCATTGTCGATAAGACCAGGCCCACTGTCCCGACGCGGCTCGAGTGGCGACGCGGAGGTGACAAGATCTACGTCACTGGCACCATTTTCCAATGGAACCGCAAGCAACGACTCCATCCCGTGTAAGTTGCAGGTTTTTTTTTTTTTTAACTTTCTCCTTTCTCCTTTCTCCTTTCTCCTTTCTCCTTTCTCCTTTCTCCTTTCTCCTTTCTCCTTTCTCCTTTCTCCCTTCCCCAACATACAATCCACGATCGGCATCGGCCCTCTCTCCAGTCTCCCTCAAGACATGTAAGACATGTGCTTCCATGGCTAAACGATTTCGTTCTTTTACAGGGAAGGCAAGCCGGGCGTCTTCGCTGGCACCGTACACATCCTTCCGGGCACTCACCATGTGCGCTTCCTAGTCGATGGCATCATGCAGACGTCGCCAGATCTGCCGACGACAGTTGATTTTGGTAATAATCTCGTGAACTATATTGAAATCAGTGCAGATGATCTGCGCCCACAAAAGCAAACGACATCGGATCAAGCAGCGGGACAGACAGATTCGAAATCCTCCGCCGCTCAGGAGGGGGACCAGGGGAAACCGTTGCCGAGGGGCAGATCCGTACCCTCACCCAGCCAATACTTCCACCAGGTTCCGAAATATCTTATGGATCTCGACCAACCCGAGGACTCGCCGGCTTATCAATATGCAGTGACGGCTATAGAAAAGCTACCGGCGCCTCCTAGTTTGCCGGGATTCCTCAGCAAGCCGATTCTGAACGCTGCCGTGCTTATGAAGGATGATAATAGCGTCCTAAACATGCCGCTTAACCATACCGTCCTGAATCACCTTGCCACTAGCAGCATCAAGGACGGTATGCTGGCTGTGTCGGCCACAACTCGTTTTAAGAACAAGGTGTGTTTACACTTCGCTCGTCCTGCCCTGGAGACACCAAATCCACTAACATTTTTCGGTGAAATAGTATGTTACGACAATCATCTACAAACCAACGTCGTCGTCGTCGTCTGGGAAGTGAACTTGGCTGGTATGGTGTTTTGGTGCCGGCAGGGTTCTTTATTACGCTGGAAATGACCTTGGAATGGTGGTCCTGGGCATTGGTCCTTGTATTTATCCGCGGGTCATACCCAGGTGGGCAAGGGCAGAAGGGACTCGGGCTCTGCAAGACTGGGTGTCGGTGGCGTGGAATAAACGCTGGGTTATGATGATTCTTATAGAGCCATGCTCGGCCTGGCATTTGCTCTTTAACATGTGGTCAAGCCATCGGGAGATACAGAGTTGGCCGATCAATCTCTCCATTTGATATATACCTCATCTGTCCTAAAACGCTGCGTACATTGACTCTCCTCCATCGGCGTTTGGAAACCCGTCTCGTAGGCCAGCAAGCCAGCGTGAGCGATCATGATGCCGTTGTCGATACAGAAGCGCTCATCCGTGGCGTAGACGCTGCCACCGCGCTCCTTAGCCATGGCCCCCATCATCTCCTGCAGCCTCTCGTTGCACCCGACACCACCGACGATCAGTACTTGGTTACTACCGACGTGAGCCATGGCGCGCTCGGTGATCTCGACGAGCATGGCGAAAACGGTCTCTTGCAAACTGGAGCACAAGTCCGCCTCGGTGAAGGTGTCCTCCCCCTTGGCCCTCGCGGCCTTCATCTGCGCGGCCAGGACGTCGGCGCTGGCGAGGATGCCGGAGAAGGAACAGTCCATGCCCTTTACGGTGTAGGGGAGGTCCAGGAGACGCGCGCCGCCCTTCTTGGCGAGCTGCTCGATGTTGTAGCCGGGGGCGGGGTCGTTGCTGATCTCCAGGGTGCGGGCGAAGCGGTCCAGGCAGTTGCCGACGGCGATGTCGAGGGTCTCGCCGAAGATGCGGTAGCGGCGCTCGGCGTAGGCGATGACCTGGGAGTTGCCGCCGCTGACGTACAGGACGACCGGGTTGGCGGCGCCGGTGATGGCGCGGCCCATCTCGATGTGGCCGACGCAGTGGTTCACGCCCACGAGGGGCAGGTCCCAGAGGAGGGCGAGGGCGCGGGCGGCGACGGCGACGGCGGTGAGGGGGGCGCCCATGCCGGGGCCCTGGGTGAAGCAGATGCAGGCCAGGTCCGAGGGGGCGGCGCCGGCTTCGGCGAGGGCGCGGAGGGCGAGGGGGACGAAGTGCACGCGGTGGTGCTTCGCTGTGTCCTTGGGGAGGAAGCCGGTTCCGGGGGGCGAAACGAAGGTGTCTCGGACGTTGGAGAGGATCGTGACCTCGCCGGTTGGGGAGTGGTGGATGACACCGAGGCCGAGCTTGTTGGCAGAGCCTTCGCAGCCCAGGGCTAGAAGCCCGCCGCGCCATCTGGGCTGTTTTTGCGTCATGATAACGAATGGATGTTTGGTTGGTCCAAGGAGACACGAAATTCGTAGTTCGACTTCTTAAGATTATGTTTCGATGGGGCAAATCCGATACAGTGCGGCCGGAAAACGAAGGGTCTCTTGATGCGCCCTCGGCCAGGTCAGGCCGCCGAAAGCTGCGGAACACCGGGCTATACAAGTGCTGTTGTTATATAATCCGAGAAACAAAACGAATGAAGGTATCCGTAGTTGTTTGTACGTTAGGTAGTATCAAAACAGTTGAAATATCCAGTGTCCTTCCACAAGAATATACCGAGTTAGAGGTCGAGTAACGCGTTGTTGATTTAGATGCTGCCCTGAGAAGAGGGGCAACATTCTGTACCGATGTACTCGGAAGTCGTCCAACCCCACCTCCGTACGTGTCAAGGTGAGTTGAGGTGACTCTTATTGGCCCGTGCACGAGCCGTGCCCTTGTATTTTTCACATTCGCAGTGCTCTGTCACACACATGAAAAGGGTACCTAAAGTACTCAGGTACTCGGGTCTGTGGGTACGTAGCTCCCACCAGAGACACAACCCACTCACGACAACCACCACTTGCCACTAACTGAATTCTGCTTCTTTGTTTTCCATGCCCTGCTCCATCACCAACTCTTTTCTGCCTCCAGTTCGGTGCGGGCAAATTTTCTTGTCTTATTCGAATCCCTTAGAGCAGTTTTCACCTTGTCCGTCTGCCGCTGCAACCTGCCATGGACCTGCTTCTCACGATCTAAGTGGCCCCTCGTTTCTTCGGAGCTTCTTGCGCCGTTACTTGACGCTCCGGACCGAGAGCCCATACATATCTGCACAACTTGGCCTCACTGCCTCACCCTGTTCAACATCTGCTTGAATTTGCAGAAGGAGATTACAACATGGCGAGCCCCGACTGCCAATATCTGAAAGGATTGCTCTGCTTGCACCCCTTGCCCAGCCTCGAGGACTGGCGCTTCCCACAACTAATATGACGGGGTTTGAACTGTGGTACGGAAGATAACCCATGTTGAAATGGGCACTCCGGCGCACCGAATCACTCTTACTCTCCCATATCAAGTCTGTACAGGAGCCTGTACGGAGCTGTGGCAGATTGTCTTGCTCGAAGCAGAATGTATGTCTGTCAGCAGCTGCGCCTTTTGGGCGTAGCTTAGCCCAATCCGCATCGCAACGGAACCCCTGCCACTCCGCAAAGTTGCACATAGCAGCAACATTATCGCGCAAATTCCTCGACCACGAATTCCTCCCCTGACCACCATCATCTTCTCCGCCCGGCTCTTATCTACAACCCACGAAGGATAGAGGTTTAAACCCCGCTGTTCCGAATGGTATTAAGCAGCAACGGCAAAGGTGACGGAATGTCACCGAGCTCGTCCGGCGCCACGAAGCCCACAAACCCACAACGCCCACAAACACTGCACCGATGATACAATTGAAACGCCTCTCCAACTATGGGTGGCAGATTTTGGTAACCCACTGCCCTCACAAGGTCAGTTGATACACAATCGGCGAATAAGGGCACCTAAAAATGATACAAGAACTAATGGATACCACCAGGCTGCCAACCCACGAGCCGGCCCTGTCAACTACGACCAGCTTGTATACGCATGCCCAGCATATATACAACCCATCCCAGCCATCACGTTGATATTCCTTCAGTCTTTGGCTTTGCTTGCAACATGCTTTGGCGACATATCATCGCCGCTGCCGTCCAGAATTGCGTACACGCAATTATACTTTCGGGAGAGCCCTTCGCCTTCGAGTCAGGCCACGACAAATGCACGACGAATACAACACAAAAGCCGTGGAAGCGTCAGCTCAGTCGTGCATTATCCGCAATTGAAGCATCTATTGTTTTTATTTATTGGTCTCAAAGCGGCATGCCATCAACTCCAGCTCATAATGCATGCTCCAGACCCATACTCGTTACATGATGACAATCCTGAACGCCGCCGCCCCTGGATCCTTTGCCGACCAGCCTGCCTATCAGACGCCTGACCAGGCAACGCCTCCGAACACCGTCCGAAACCCTCCGAAACCATGGGTATATACGAACACTGCAACTAAATATACACCTCTTACCAACGCCAGCGCTCGCGACAGCAAGAGACGCTGCTTGGCAAAGAGTTCGAATTAATGACGATAATCTCAAATGACGATAATCTCAAGAGGCAGCTTAGCCTTGTTGAGTCAAGCCAGAAGCAGCACTTTGTGGGCCTGGCTGAGGGGGTTGAGCGAGTGGGGCGGGTGGATGTGGCGGCTGTGGCGGCTGTGGGAGTGCTGGTCTGCCTCCCGCAAGATGGCCATTTACCATACCCTCCTGCCCGACGTGCCTCCGTGGGAAGATAAAGGGCGACAGCGGAATTGTCGCTCTGAACTTGAGCGCCCTCGTATCGAAGGGATCGATCTCATACACTGGCTGCTCCTCGTCATCGTCCTGGTCATACTTCCATCGATCGGAGGTCTCATCGTCCCGAGGGGGAGTTGTTATGCCGCGCCGGTCGATCCACAACCGATTCAACCGGCCGATGCGCCTGCGGAATGCCGGCTGTTTGGTTGACGGCGGCGCATGCTTACCGCCGGCCATACTGCCTCCGCCGCCGCCGCCACCGCCAGCCGTGAACCGGAAGATGGGCAATTCACGTCTATCAGGCACCGGAGCGGGTTCTTCATCCAAGTCCATGGCCTCCGAGTCCGACGAGGTCGACGCCGGCGGTGTCATCAAATACTGCGCCTTGGCTGGGCGGAAGCTAAGCTCCATGCCTTGCTCCCTGACCGGCGACAACGGATCGCGGGTGAGATCAATGTGGTTTTGATTCCACTTCCGATGGGTCTGCACCTTCTGCTCGACATCGGCGCGCAATTCATTATCCTTGGCAGCCAATCTGTCTGCCAGTTGAACAAGGTCCGCGTCCATCGAGCGACCGTCTGGCCGAGAAGCCACACGCACTGCGCTTGCCGTGGGGCGAGCAATGGTGGGCACTTCGGGCACCTTCCTTCTCTGGGGCTGCACATGACCATCAGCGTCACCAGCCATGTCAAGAAGATGGTTTGGAGGAGAACATACCTTGGTATTTACGAGGTCGTCATCGTCTCCCTTGATGCCCAGCTTGGTCTTCATCTCCCTCACCTTGGCGCGCTGCTCAAAGATCATGCGTTCGAGTTGGAGGAAGTCACGCTTGAGCATCTCCCTTTCATGGGTGAGGATGATCAGTTGGCGGCCATCTTCCAGCTCCTTGCGCAAACGCTTGAGCTTTTCGGCGCTCTGCACATCTCGCTGCCTGGTCTTCCGGGTCTGGCGGGCCTCGCGACGCCGAAAGCAGACATAGGGGTCTGTATCGTCGGTTTCCTGGTGAGTCTCGAATTTCAGAGTGGGGTGCAGCGACGTGTTTCCTTTCTCCTGGCGACACGCTTTCCAGTACTCATAGATTTGCTTGGTGTGGGACATGATCTTGCCCGACCCGAGCTGGTTGAGTGAGGGCACCATCATGTCATAACTGACAACAGTGTTGTCGATGGACGCAAAGGGGGCTTGTTCCCCCGCGGTCTCCTCGAAGACCTCCATGATTCTTTCGAAGTCATCTTCGGACAATTGGGCTGCACTCTTCCTTGTGCTGTTGTACTTCTTGAGAAACTCGTCATCCTCTGTTGTCATGTCATACGATACCCCGATGCATTCCTCGACAGTCTGCGAGAAGCGGATATATGCATTGGGCTTCTGGAACTGGAGAGGATAGAGTTGATCATAGTTGATCTGGCTCTCCTGAGGAGGCGGCACGGGAATTTCCTGGTCATTGCTAGTGCCCGACTCCTTGAGGATTGATTGCAGGTGGTATTCCTGCGGAGCAGAATGTGTCAGCTGTGGTGTTACGCCACTTCACGCTTTAAAAACCGCGAAACAAGGCGTGGGGTGTGTCCTCTGTTTTAGGGGGCGGCGTCAAGTGAAGTATCGTACGGAGACCCGCTTCGGTGAGCCGTCACCGAGGGGGGTCCACCCAAACATCACGTGACAATACCCGTGATATCAGAGTCACGCGAAAAGGTAGGTGAAGGTGACTCACAGTCTCCTCAGCAGCTTCAACGCCGGTCGCAATTTGTGTTTCTGTTGTCAAGGACTCATATTCACTGGGATCGATGTCATCCTCCCGGAGAACGGGGAGGGGGGTTTTGACGTTGAGTTTCTTGACACGAACTTTTCGGGTCGACATGGCGGTGAGGGATGGCAGAACGGCGCAAAGCCAGCGGAATAACCGCAAAAAAAATGGCTCAGGTCATACACGATGGTTTGCCACGCTCACTTTTGCATTTTTTGACGATAAAAAGGGTGGTTGAGGTTGTTGTTTTGATGGCCGTTGTGTCGCTGGACGATGAGGTGACGTTGAGGATGTTTTGCCGCGCGAAGAATTTTTGCCGTCCCCCTGTCCGCAAAAGCTGCTGCCTCGGACGTCTTTGTTGGGGGGCGACATGTACCCTTACCCTCTGTATTGGTGGGTAGGTACTTTCGTGTTTTCCCCCTGAGGTGTGGGCCACTTTTCCGTCTTGCTTGGTTCGCTGTTGGGTGGGCTTGAGCTTAACCCGAAGTGGCTGAAAAAGAGAAATTAGTCACGTGACAAATGCTGCGATATCAATCCCATCTTTCGATTCGTAAGGTAGGTACCTTACATTGTTTCTTGATCCTGAATAGGTTCGCGGTTCTCCTATGAGAGTTTTTTCAGAAATCGAGAAATATATATCACGATGACATGCGGGTTCCCGGATAGAAAAATTCATGTATTTCCACAAAATATTCATACATAGACTGTCGGAAAATGAGGTACGTCATACTGCTTCGCATGTCTCTACAGTGTGAAATGAAGTGCTCGTCCTCGTGACTTTGAATTTAAAATATTTACAAGACCCTTCTGTTTTTTGTCTCTTTCTTTCCTTGTATGGTAACCGCGAGTCTTCACTCCATACTTCGTACTTGCGGAGTACAACTCGTGGCTCCAGGACGGATTCTAAGATGAAGGCATGTTCGCTGGGTTGCGGTTTCTATCAGAGATAGGTGGTCTGTGCACAGTGTCACTTCTTGGCTCAGCGTCAGGCCAATCAGCAACCGAGCTGCCAAACGAAGACGCGACAAGGTATCTACCTAGGTATCTAAGGTAATCCGTAGGTACCGTACCGTAATTAACTTGGCCACCAGAGGGCATCGAATTCAGGCTCCAAAGTCTCGACGGCGACCTCATTGCACCCACGAAGACGATTCGGCGTTTCGCACAAAAGGCAGACGGATTTTTCTTATTGCATCAACACGAGTACTTCTAGCACACATACTTTTTTTCTTCTCACTCAGCAAGCATGGGCAACACCACCAGCGCCGTGCTGGACAACATCGTCCAGGGGTCCAACTGTGAGCCCCTCCCCCGCTTCTACAGAATCGAAAATACATCCCCCGTCTTGTACTCGGTTAGATTCTGACTATGGGTGCTTGCTAGTCGATAGAGACGAAGTCGACCGTCTAAGGAAACGATTCATGAAGCTGGACAAGGTATGTTTCCTCCAACCTCGAACAACCCTTCCCCCGGGGCGGTAGAGGTGAGCACGGCATCCTGACAGCCTATTCCGCAGGACAACTCCGGTACAATCGAGCGCGAAGAGTTCCTTAGCCTGCCCCAGATTTCGTCGAACCCGTTAGCAACAAGGTACTGCCATGGTCGTCTCTCCCCAGTGCAGCCATCAGGCACAGCGCAAAAAAGAAGAAAGGAAAGAGAAGAAGAAAAAGGAAAAAGAAAGGGAAAAGAAAAGGAGGAAAAAAAAAGGCATACCAGCTAACCTTGCGCTCGCTTCCCTCCGACAACAATAGGATGATTGCCATCTTCGACGAAGACGGCGGCGGCGACGTCGATTTCCAAGAGTTCGTCTCGGGCCTGAGCGCCTTCTCGTCCAAGGGCAACAAGGAACAGAAGCTCCGGTTCGCGTTCAAGGTCTACGACATCGACCGCGACGGGTACATCAGCAACGGGGAGCTCTTCATTGTGCTCAAGATGATGGTGGGTAGCAACCTCAAAGACCAGCAGCTGCAGCAGATTGTCGACAAGACGATCATGGAGGCCGACCTCGACAAGGACGGGCGCATCAGCTTCGAGGAGTTTACCAAGATGGTCGAGAGCACGGACGTCAGCATGAGCATGACCTTGGATCAATTCTAGTTTCTGTTCTTCCCATTCGAGGGGGTGGGAGGGGAGGGGAGGAAGGGGCCGATGAGCGAAGCGGCCGCATCACGAGACATGACAACTACTGATGTTTACGGACAAGGAACGACAGCGGTGGGGGGGCAACAGGAAGTTTCTTCTTGCGTTTGGAATAGAATACCCCGAGGCAGCCCGGCGAAAAGGAGGTGGTTAGACTGCGTCTTAGTCCAGAACTACGTGCTCCTGATCGTTCTTCTTGGTTCCTGCTGGTATATGTGCTTGAGCTATCCTACTATACCGCCGATATATGACACAGGAAGTATGATGAATGGCCCTGCACTGATATGGCGACATGGCAGATTGTGCCCTCGCAGGTAAGTGTTGGTATGCTTTGTCTTTCAGTCCTGCGCTATATGGCTGACTACCAACAGGAGCATCCGTCTTGCGGAAGGAAGCCCGACTTCTATCCCGTCTTGCCCTACGCCTTAGCAGGGCTCTGCGTATACTAGGTCAGGGGCCGAGATGGGCACGAGCTCAAGCATTTGGATACGCAGTCATTTTTCCACAGTAGAAGAAATTCCGCGAGGGCTCTTAGAATGATGAGTGATGACTCCGACTAGCAGAATTACAGGCAAGTTGGTCATGTCTGTCTCATCTCGCTGAAGACGAAGCCTTGTCCAGGCCTGGTTTATTCTGTCCTGCCGCTGGCATGCTGGTGATTCGAACTAATACACCATGCAATATCGAGCACCTTGGGTCTCTGCTGAAGCAAAATCACAAACGCTAGCAGATACCTTGGTATTACGGCCTGGAGATACTTCACCACTTCAACTTTCTACCAAGCAAGATTGACATGATAGTTATGTATCTGTGACGAGGACTGGCTGAATGGACCTTGGAGTACCTTACTTCGAAAGCCGGCCAATTGGCAACGACAAACCGATCCCTGTGTCTCATCCGCCGCACCTAAGGTACCGATCCGAGACAATGGACTCAGTTCAGCTGGTCCCGACAGATCTGCCGCAAAGGGGCGCGATCGATCCCTTCGCGGCCAAGGGACTACATTCCTAAGGTACCTTAGTTAATGCCGAAGATACATAATATAATACACACGAGATACATCTCCGCATTGTTGTATGTCTAAGTGGATTGATCGAGGGCGAAAAAAAAGAAGGAAAAGGGAGTAGCGGGAAAATAAAGAGGAGAACGGGGGCCCCGAGAAGCATAGGCGCTCGGACAACCCGACTTCTTCCCACTTATCAAAGTAGAGCTTGACTTCCTGACTGCCGGGACAAGACAAGAATGAGGCTGCTGAATGAGGCGAGGCTGACTGGTGGAACCAAAGCCGTCAAAATAAGATTTCACGGTTGTGTGACGATTGGCTGTGCTTTGGAGGAGCAGACGAGGCTACAACTCATGGTGTGTGTGTCCCATCTGCATGTCTCTCTCGGGTGGCCAATACATGAATAAGGTACGGGTGGGTGCTGCAGAATGAATCAATCGTCGATGAGCCGGCTGACTAGGTACGGGGCACGCAGAGCGCCTCGTTTCCCATTCAAAGACCCTGGAACATGTTCCTACGTTATTTCCTTTGTGTGTCGAACATCGTAGCTAGACCGAGGCGGCTTGACACTGGACCCATATTTTGAAGAAAGGAGGGGGCGTGGAACACGAGGACTGAAGATGCCCGAAATGACAGGTCACATGTCCCTTTGACTACGCGTGAACTCGTTGGTAACCCGGGGTGTTGGTTGAGGTTGGTTGCCAAGGAATGATCGTCGCCTGAATTGGACAGAAAATCTCCCGAGATCGACGCGGGGACGGCAGGGTCACCAACTACGGAGTAGGTAGGTTTTCGTGAGGAGGACGACATACCAGCTTCGACGATAAGAATCTTGTGACTGGGAGTTTCTGGGCTGGTTCCATATGGTTGCTTGAATCCATGTGGAAACATGATGGAAACGTCACGGAAACATCATTAAAGCCCCTGTTCGTTTCGTTTCGTTTCACTTCACATCACCCTTCGTGCATCACCGTTGTAGACCTTAATAAACATAAAACACAAATACAAACACAAACACAAATAATACAACGTTACAGGCAATACATAGTCTATATCGTGTCTCGCCTGTCCCGTCCATCCGTACCGTACCTATAATACACGCCGATTTTAAGTTTCCAAGCTTCCATGGCCCATTCCCGTTGTCCCAGTTTCTTCCCTTTTCTTCTTCCCTCAGACACTTCTCCGTGTCTACCCCGTACAAGAAAGAAAGCTCAACACCGAATATCCTGGCCTGGAGAGCGCGTAAAGAAACCACAAAGACAGTAAAATGCTGTAAGTTTCGTGTAGACATAAGGTAGACAGTGTCCGGTACACACGTGTCATGCATATGAGAAGAGCAGAAAAAGCTCATCCAGCCCAACTCCTGCCCAGCCCGTGTGGCATCCTTTCTTATCCAAACTCCCAGAGTGAAAATAGAAGTCATTTCACAGTATGGCTTCAAAGGACCAGGTCTGTCACCTGACTCTAGGTCCGTATGCAGAATAAATATACAGCTCAAGGTTCAAGGCCGTCCCCTGGTGACAGCAAAACACCTGTGAGTGACCACTCTTGGCATTGTAATCTTTTCTTTTTCTTCCCCTTTTCGACCACTCTTCTTCTTTTTCTTCTTGTCTCGTTGGGGGATGCTTAAAACAGCAATTTTGTCATGCTTTATCGTCCCGTCGCTGTCGTCATGACCGAGAAAAATCAGCCGCTCCCGCCAGAGTGAGCGTGGGGCCCGCTGCCGTCGGCGGATTGGGTTATATCCAAACACTCTTGGATAACTAGGCAAGGTAGATCAGGGTCAGTGTCGCCTCCCAAGGTTGGAGTGTCCAGCGCAACGACGTACTATCGAGGATCCGTTCCTCCCAGACGCCATAGTGGTAGTCCACAAGGCCATGGCGCTCGATACCGTCGCATAGCCGAATGAGCTCCTTGCCCATCCTCTCCAGGCCTTCCTCCGATACGAGGCTCTGCGGCCGCTGCAGTAACCGCCCGGGCTGCATCATGTCCTTCTGGGCCTGGAAGAGCGCCAGCCACGCGTGGTTGAAGTTCTCCCAGAGCTTGATCCGGTCTTGGTGCAGCTTCGGGTCGTCCTGGCACAGCCCTGCAACTCCTGTCGTCAGTCAAAACTCTGCAGGGAAAAGAAGAAGAAAAAGAGGCATCCGACTAGCTCTCTCTTTTTTTTTTTTTTTTTTTTTTTTTTCCACTCACCTAGTTCCTGGACCTGGGACAAGAGCCAGTTGGAAACGTCCAGAAGCGACTGGCTCGCGGATTCCAGGGCACCGGCGCGGATGTTTTGGAACACGCCCCGCAAGGCTGTCTGGTATTCGATCCATTTCTCTTCCAACCCCCCCGACACCGGGTATTCTTGCTCTTCTATCGCCACCTCCGCGTTTGGTGTCGGCTGGGCCATGCCGCCTACGCCGGACATGTTGGTCGTCGAGAAACCCTGCTGCAACTGGGATGATGACTGGTACGTTGTGGGGGTGGCAGTGGCCGGCTGCGCGTGCGAAAGGGTGGAAGGGCCGGGGGTGCTGTTCGGGTCGTTGGGGAAATATGATGCTTGCACGTCGGTTGGCAAGATGGAGGCACCTGCAGGCTGCCGCTGAAACTGCGCTTGCGCGTCATAAACGGAACCTGTGGTACCCGCCAGGTTTTCGTAACCCATGGGCATTGTGTTGTAGCCCGCAAAGCTTGGCTGTTGCCGACCGTCCTGCCCATACCCCGACTGATAGTGCATCGAATTGGCCGCCATGGAGGTGGCGAAGGACCCCGTGACTTGCTCGGGATAGTTGTACGCGCTGTAGCTACCCGCTCCCGCAATCGCTCTCCCCTGAGAGGGTGGTGTGTTCACCGGCGCGGGCCGGTTGTAACGATCGGAGGACCCGGCGGGCATGGAACGGCGTCCCTGCGAAGGATCGTGCACATATCTTGGGTTAGATGCCGGGTGCATGGGCTGTTCATTCTGCCTTCGAAGGCGATTATGATCCTCCATACCACAGACCGTCCTCCACTTTCGCGTGCCAGTGGTGGACTCGATGTTAGGAGATTCGTCGAGGCTGGGTACGGCGGATGCGCAAGTCGCAGCGCGGGATGCGTCTGTTGTCTCGCCAATGCGGAAAAGCCGAAAGGCCAACTCCAAGCTGAGGAGTCAATCGAGCGAGCGAGCACCGCAGTGGGAGGTCGGATATAGTGGAATTAAGGCGACGAGGTGGGATTGGGGGTCCAGACGCAAGGTGGCAGGGCAGTAATAGTAGCCCTCACCCAAGGCCGACCAGGTCTCGATCAGAATAGGTCCCGCAGAAAAAAGCTGGGGGGATGCGAGAAAATCGATGGGAATGCAAAGTCTATACTAGTAGAGTGGAATACGCCCTGGCAGACCTGATCCGGGGCGCTACCCGTGTGCGTGCCCGTGCCTGTGGTGAGCACACCTCGAGTGCTTTAGCGCTTAGGAGCCTGCGCTCTGGAACCCTCACCTGGGGAAGGAATTCTGATGGAAGAGGAGGGGGGGAGACAGGGACGAAGAACGCTGACGAGCCGTTGTCTTTGCGCTGACGAGCGAGGGTCGAGACGCGTTCGAGATTTTCTTTTTCTTTTCAGGCTGCGCACTCTGTGAGTAATGAGCCCGACGAATGAGGCGAATGGGGGCCTTGAGTTGTCAAAGCAGGCGTCAAGCTTGATGCCAGGAGTACCCCAGGAGGTGCCTGCAAGTGGGAAAGGCTAGCATAACCAGCAGGCAGGTCCCTGCGTGGTGTTCCCTGGCGATGAAGCCGCACCAGGGTCTCACACTCGGTAACCAGGACACTACCTAAATAGGCACGGGAGCAGCAAGGCGCTTCGCTCGGACGCACCCAGACCGTCGGGTGCAAGAGAATTCGGCGGCAAAGGATTTCGTGGTTTCTGTGGCGGAGTAGCTGGGTAAGGGCAGAGGTTGCAAAGGATACAACGACGTTGGATTGGGGTGGGGGAGCGTGAGGAATGAGAAAGGTGAGGACCGTAAGTGAAGCCTAGGACCTTCTACACAGACGCCAGACTGATGGGGGGCCGGTAACGTATGATTTAGATTGGAGGGTTGGAGATACGCGGTTCAAGAGAATGTGATAGAGACCGTGATAGGGCGGGAAGACGGGATGGCGATAGGAGTGTCTCAACGAAATTTCTTGCATCAAAGCCAAGTAACTCGACCGAGGGTGGTGGACACATGAAAAAGTCGGCGCGGCTACTTCTGCTTCTGCCGATGATAAAGAGCACGGGGCGTCGTCGAGTTCGCTGTGGTCCTTGGTCGTTTGACACTGGAGTGGCGTTGAGAGCAGGTTGAAACCAAACGAAGCGCGACGGAGATGGAGATGCCCAGCGCAAAGTAGGAGCAGGGTCTCCTCGAGGTGTCTTGCCGAGGACAGTGCCGAGCGGGTAGTCGTTCGATAAGTGTGAACCGAACGTCGAGGTCGGGGAGGAGCGTCCTGGGAATGAAATGAGCACCAGGGGAGTGACAGCAAAGAGATCGACTGCCCTACAGGAGTGAGTACGTTGTACGGATTAGAGGATAGACGGTTGGAGCGGATGGAGCGGAGTCAATCGATCTGAATGAGAACGTGGGAAGACGGCGGTCAGGTTCAGGGGGGAAACAGTTAAGGGTAAGGTGTTATGGGGGGTCCATCCACAGCATCCGAATCCTGATAGTGCGTTGTAAGCAAAAGGGGGGAGGGAGGATAAAGGGTTACATCAAGGACAAGGACAAGGACAAGAACAAGAGCAGAAGCAAGGCGTTCAACTAGCGGATGATTGAGGATGTGCCCGCCATAATACACTAAGAAGACGAGATGAGAAAGCGCAGCAGATTGAGATTGGCCAGGGTAGGGCAGGGCAATGATGTAGTAATGCCCGACAGACAGAGATAGTACCTCAGACTACCTGGACGCCGATCACCTAGAGGCTCGTTCAAGTGTCATGCGTCAAGGCGTGCCAAGATGAACTACGCCCAGAATGGGGACTAGCTTGCGAGCTTGTAGAGTCAGGTCTCGGTCAAGCGGGGAGCGCTACGACGTATGGAGCTGATGCTGTTTTCAGGAAGACTCTGTCAAGGCCACCGGCCAGCCGGGAGTACCTTATGGATGTTGTACGTTGGACGTTGGACGTTGGACGTTGGACGAAGCATTGATCCGGATCGTTCTCTGACCGTCCCAGCTTGTTTATTTAGGCTTGGGTCCGCGTCAGGTACGGACCAATTGCTTCAGCAGATCAGAAGAAAGAGAAGAAAAGAAGGGGTGGAGGTGGAGGTGGAGGTGGAGGTGGAGGTGGGAGGGGGGGTAATTACTGAATAGCTCAAGACTAAGTTTTGTTTTTTAGGCGTGGGCTTAAACGACATGAGCAGAGGAAGGTGCAGACAGTTAGCGTATTACAGAGTGACGCATCGCGCGTCCAGTTTCCCGGGACGAAATTGCGTACGTTGTATATGTACAAAGATGAAGGAAAAAAATTGCCCGGGTGTGTACTTAAAATGATGCTGCTTCTCTGTAATCCCGTGGTATACGTGTACCTTACCTTATATTAAGGGGATGGCTAGCGTGGACTGAAGTACCAAATGACGAATGTACAACGCGCGCCGAAAAGCCAAATGCCGGCAGCAAGAAGAGACATGCCCCCCAAACAGGGTGGGAACGGAGAAAAGAAAGAAAAGAACAAATAAAAGAAATCTTAGCCGTCGGGTCAAAATCCGAGCAGGGGCCGAAACGACTGGTTCTGCGAAGTACATGTTACTGAGGACTTACTCCGTATGTACACACTGCTGCTCATTACCTAGGCATGTACCTACGACGTACTCTGCAGACTTCGACTTCAGGCACCAATCACCCCAATGTACCAAATACGGAATTACCTTACCCGGATTAATGCGCGGGGAAGAAACGAGCTTTCAGGAACATTCGGATGTTCATTGGGAGATGAGAAGATGACGGACCACAGACCACAGACCACAGGGACGGGTACGTACTCTTTACTTCGTACTCGTCGAGCTAAATTCCCGCCTTTTCCTCCGCCCCCATTCTTTCCTTATTTCCTCCTTTTTTTCTTTTTTTTTTCTTTTCATTTTGACCTTACCTACTCCTAACAGGGCTTTCTTTTCCCATTCGCTGCGGATGTCGAAGAGTTGAAACAAGTCTTTCTCTTCTTCGCCGTGCCTTCCCCCCGGGACCTAGCGTGCCGTGGCCGCGTCTTGACCCCTGGCCTGTCCCGTTGATTGCTGGGAATCGACTACCCTGCTTCTGCTTCTGCTTCTGCTTCTGCTTCTGCTTCTGCTTCTGCTTCTGCTTCTGCTTCTGCTTCTGCTTCTGCTTCTGCTTCTGCTTCCGCTTGATCGCTGCAGTTTCTCCACGAAGACGCTAACGCAAGGTACCAGCCTGCTGCCCCGCCTCCACTGCCCTTCCAGGTTCTTAGCCACAATTATGGAATTGTGCCAGGTTGCGCCGAGTTTTGAGACAGAGGTTTGAAGTGCGAGTGCATCGTTGGGCACTTAAAAAAAAAAAAGGACCCTGGGAATTCTAGAAGGATTTTGCAATTGCAGACTGCAGCTGAACTTGTGGCTGCCATACCACATACGGAAGGAAGGACGATGCGCGAAGTGCGATCTACGACCTATTTCATACAATGTACTTGGTATGCCAGAGCTGCCTTGCGTGCCAGGACGTCATTTCTTTTCTGGGCACCTGAGACACGGGGAGAGTAGGTTGACGACGAAGAGAGCTCATTCAAGTAGGTAAACGTACGGACCTCTTTCCCTCCCCAAGAACGGTTCGCTCTCTCCTTTTGCTGCGGAAATGCGATAAGCCACACTATCCCACCTGGGCTGATGATGCTCGCGATTTGTATGTACGAAGTACGGATGGCATAGCTACAGCCCCTGGCAAAAAGTATTTGAATACGCCTATGTACCATCGACCCACAAAATGTCAGGCTGAGGGCATATGGCTTACTATCTAGCCTCAAATACATAGGAGTGTTCAAATACTTATTGCCTCCCACTGTAGGTAGGTATTACGGGGGTTTTTTGGTTTCGGGGGG